GGTACCTAGAGTTAATAGATACTCAGGATATATATATATATATATATATATATATATTGATAAAAAAATAGTGATGTATAGATATAGATACATCCCTGGAGAAGTATCCAGTGGTCTTACAGAAACACCTCATCTCAACAGTAAGAGTTGGAGAAGTATACAGGTATAATACTAAGATATAAAATTCAGCATACCTGACCAGGCAACACCCGTCACCAAGTGGGATCCTGAAGTATGATGTACAAGCAAAAGAGAAAAAAATAATCATATGACGACTTACCCCAGTCACGGGTGAACAGACGTGAGGAAGAAGATATTTGCCCAAGGAAGACACAGTAAAGTTGTGCAGAGAAAGAGTGACAAAAGTTTAGGAAGTTAGCCACATAACGGGCTGATTGACCCCCTCCAAAGGTTCGAGGAGTAGAGCAGCTAAAGACAGAGTTAGATGAGGAATTAGGTGTGGAGAGTCAATATGTAGATGGCAACTGGCCAGGGACACATCCAAATACGCCAGGTGTAAGAGTTGACGAACCCAACCCTTGAGCATAATAAAAGAAAAATCAGGGGAAACAGAAATGCTATGGAACAATGAGATAGGAAAAAGAACAACAGAAGGAGACAATACAAGCCAAAGAACAGAGCAGAGAATGAACTAGACAAAGGAGATGACCGGAAATGATTGAGAATACAGGTGGGAAAAAGAAGGGAAGGAAAGAGGAGAAAAATCAAAACAATCTACCTGGGCAGCCTATGTTCCAGGGAAGGAAAATCCCAAATCCAGATAACAAAAAGCATATGAGAAATGGTAAAGGATGTCATAAAAATTGAAACAATGAAGATGGCATGCCAGGAGAGGGAGGATTGAGGTTTTAAGAGAAATATCTTACAAGAAACAAATTGCAATGGATTAAAAGGGAGAACTGGACAGGATAGGAAAAACAATATGGAGATCCCAATCTGGCAAAACAAAAGAAATGTGTCGGATGAACCAAATCTAAGAAATGGAACAACTCAGGGCAGAGAAAATTTCTGTAATAGGGAGAAAAGAGGGAGTTCAACAGCGCAACTGTAAAAAGAGCAACAGTTGAAACAGACAAACCCTGAACAAACAACCAGATGAAGAACTGGGATAGGTGAGGAACAGAATTATAGGAGGGACAGAAGCCCTGGGAAAAAGACTGAAGCAAGACTTATGCCTCTGGTACATAGATACAGAGGAAGGGCAAAAGGTGTAGGCAGTGAAAGATGCAACACGAGGGGTGAGTTCCTGAGTTGAGACACAGGACTGGACAATAGACACCCGAAAAGAGAGAGAATAGTGACGTTGGGATGAAAAATGACCGATCACGGTGGACAAAGGAGTGAATAGGACACAGAAAGGAGCAGAGTTTGTTGCTCCATGAAGAGCCAGAGCAGAGGAAACTATGTCAGTGCCAGCCAATCCGGAGCAACCAACAGAACACAAGAAGGAGGGGTCTAGATAAGGGAAAAGACCCAAAAGGGGAAGAGTCTGAATGGAGGGTAAACATATAGGGGCAAGCCCCTGAGCCAAGGCACGTGGCTGGACAAAATTCACTCTGAAAGAAGGAGTGTGGAGACATCTGACTGAAAAAACGACAGATCAGGGATGACAGAGGAGCATACAGGACATTGAAAAGGATAAGCTGTGTTGCTCCAATAAGGGCCAGAGCAGAGGGAACCACAGCTGAGTGGCCAATACAGAAGAATCATAAGAGCACAACATGGTTTGGTCTGGATAAGGGAAAAGACACAGAAGATGAGTCAAATCGGAGGGTAGGCATATTAGATAAAGACCCCTCCAATATTGACTGAAAGCATCTATTTCCACAGCTGAAGGGTGAGGAACTAAAGACTAAAAGGAAAAAAGTGTGGCATACTAATGATTGGGAAGACCTACAAATATACAGTGTTTCATGAGAAAAACATGAGGATGAAGAATCCACTCTATGGAGAACCTGGTAGGGATGCGATAAGAGATTGGCCACAAGAATCAGTCGAAAACCATCATAGAGAACCTGTAAAAAGAACATAACTGTTGTGAAGTGTAGCCAAAATGACACATAAACTAAAGAAATTAAAGAAAGTTCACAGAACTAATGAACTAATAAAAACTTAGAAATGTGTAGTCTACAAAGAGCTTAAAAGTAACACACCTGCAAAACTAAGAAATTTGACCTAAAACAATAAGTAACACCTAAAGTACAAAACCACTAAAGGGACTTGAACATAGAAGTTGACTCAAAGAAACTATAAGACAATGGACACGAAAAGAAAACTTACCCTGAAAAACATGAGAATAAAAAGGCATCCTGTTAACAAAAACAAAGATTGACTCAAAAGTTATCTCCAATTAGATGTGACTAGTAGTAAAGATACAAAAAACTAAATAATATTAACAGAGAAAAAATTTAAAATATTAAATGAAATTAATGCAAGAAACAAACTGTAAATGCAAGTTGTAAACTAAAGTAGCCTAGATGGTAAAAGAAGTATAAAATTCGAACTTACATAACACTGACTAGAGAAGACATGAATGATGTAAATTATCAAGTGTGGAAATTAGATTCATACACACGAGCTCACATAAACTCATTGAATATGGTTACATGTATGGAGAGCGAGAAATACATACTGAAAAACTTACCACAGATCTCCTGGGAAAAAGAACAATACCTATCTTAAAAGGGAAAACTAGCCAGCCGAATGTAAGACACCAACACCCTATGAATGAAAGTCTGTACTTCCTCAGCATACATCGTGAAGCCTGAGACTGAGTGTTATAACCACTGTCTACTTATGGTGAGAAAATTATCAACCGTCATAAGAAACCCGAAATCATATGAACAAAGTTGAAATCGGGAAACAGAAACATCTCAAAAACAAACGAGTAGAAACTTGAACTGGAAACTGATATCAATTGGTGATCAAGAACAATAAAAAATTGTGCAGTCACATGAAGAACGTAAAACACACATCTATACATGAGAATGCCAATCGAGAAAGTGAGGATTGTACCGAAATGGTAGAAGGAGCTACCTGCACTAGAATAGAGGGTGGTCACATGATCAGTACATGTTGCTGCAATGATGCAAAATATATAGGTGTACTTTTAAATAGTTTACCAATGCCTAGAGGGCAAATGAAGGTCAAGATAGCTGTGGCGGAAAGGAGGTAGTACCGTTTCGGAAACTTGTGTCCTACCTGACCATATATATATATATATATATATATATATATATATATATG